TGGCGAAATTTTACAGAGATTTCGCCACGGTCTCCAACCCTTCGCCTTTCTGAACCGGGCTTTGGACTGCTACGGCGGAGTTTAGTTATATTAGGCGCTTATGAGTTTAGTTACGTTTTTCGTTATTAATGTATGCATCTAAAGATTGAAAGATCAGCCCAACGAGTATTGAGCGTGTTTGAAATGTCAGTTTCTTTTCAGTAATTATATTCATAAAAATTAACATTGATATTATGAGTTTACTAGCATACTGGTGGTTTTTTAATGCTGTTTTGCCTCCATGTCCTGCGGATCCTATAATACCATAGAGCCGTAGCCTGCTAAAATGGATCCACTAGGCTGTTGGAAGCAAATGGATGGTTCGTCTACGCCTGGAAAATCCGGAATTAGCAGAGAATGTTATTTTCAGCAAATGCACATCGTTTGTCGGCAAGATACGTAGCAAAATTGCATGTCTTCTGCTAGGTGCCTAGAATGCTTTTTGAACAGACTATGACATTTGAGCACCCTGGAACGCGAAGAAATAGAACCACGCGCATCATTTTCTTGACTTGAGCAAAAATATGTCACCAACGAAAATATTCGTTCCATTAGTTCATTTTAAAGTTCCTTATTCCATCGGGATGTTAGAATTGCTTCAGTAGGCATTTCCAGTGCTGCCCGTCCGTCCTCAAACGAAATCATTTTAATCCTTTTTGGTTTACCCACAGCAGCGAATTTAAACTACTGTCACTCGTGAGAATTCTGAATACGAATCATTTCTCAGTGTGTTAACAGACTTGAACTGTTCCTTCTTTCTTGCGGCTTGGGGGATATTTAAGTAAACCATTTTTCTGTGATATGATGTCTTCCTTTTATTTCTGTATTCCTTAAAAATAACCATGTTACCCATTCCGTGTTACGTTATTCGGTATCGCGGAATCATTCTATTAAATAGGGTTTCAAACGTGTTTCAAAAGATGTTCATATTCTGCTTCAGCTCAAGCTACCCATATTTTTGCTGTCGTTTCTTTTCATGATCTTTTTCATTTCATATTCATTTAAGGCTGTTCGATTCTGCGTTTTACTTCCTTCTGCGTTAAATCTCAGATCACTAATGCCGGAATATTCAATAGACGCATCGGTAATCTATCATATACGTCAAATTTTCGTTTTATGTTTTTCAATGTCCTAAAAATTTATATCTTGATTAACGTAAATCCTTTGATTCAAAGCATTGTCTTTGAACCATTGATATTTCAGTGGATTTCGCGCTGTTCCAGTCTCTAAAGCAAATTAATTAACAAAATATTAATGTTGTACGTTTAGTCATTTATAATGATGCCTTGGGGAAGCCAACCAAAGTTTGTTTTTTTGGTGTGTCGGTCGTTCGCCACTGTGGTCAAATCTTCCGGTAAGACTATTTGTAATGCAAAATTATGAAGTTGGAATGGTTTTTGTAGCTCCAGTTTTTATCGAAGGAGTTAGGACACCGTTTCTGCAGTCGCAGACCAGTTTCAAGAAAATGATGAGCTACGAGTTGGAACGGAAAGCTTTGCTGTATGTTTTTAATTTCTGTAGAAACATTTCTGTACCAGATGTGGGTAGATTCTGTTTCAGTTATTTTAACGGCTATTACTGCGAATGTCTATCCTATAAACGTAGTATTAGATTCTTGTTGATTAGTTCCCAGGATTTCTTAACAGTCAAAGTTTAATGAACAGCATATGCTGAGTTTTGTTTGAATAAATAATGAATGAAACGATGAACTTGTGGTCGTTCTTCGGGGCCCAAGTCAGTTGCAAACATTGCAGTTGTGCTTTAGACCAGAGAGGCTTTTTTGTTGAAGAAAATGAGCCGTTCGACGTCATCCACCGATTCTAGCCCAGAAAACGTTAGAAACCAGGATTGAAGCCGTCGATCATCTGCATATTGTTCATAAACCCTGAACTGCTGTTGCATTTATTCAGCCATGAGTTTTGCTTCCGGTCTATCTGCATTAAGACCTATTGCTTGAAATGGATAGTTATGGCATTCACGTCATTTTTTCCGAGAATGGTAAATAATGAAGTATGCGGCAAAAGTTTGGAGTGATTATGTTTAAACCGTTCTTTAATTTCAGAAATTACACTTTGTAGGTGGCCTGTTATCACGTGATTTTCCAAGTGCATCAAGACTGACTGCAGTCACTTAAGTAGCATGCCGAGCGTTGGGTTCTGTGCAGTCATGTAAGTTGCTGCTTGGTCTGTCCGGGTTGTATTTTTCCTACAAGATGCGTACGAAGTAATGTAAAAGAGCTACGGTACTGCTGAATTATAGACGAATGGATATATCGATGGTCCTTGGCACTTACCACTTCATGTAGACTGTCTACCCAACTGCTGTTTCAGTTTTTTGGCTATTGTGTCCGCATCGCAGGTTGTAATTTTTGCCGTCAGTGCTCATGTCAACTTGATTTGCAGTGTGTAGGTTCTGATTTGTTTTATTGTTCAGTATACAGTTCATTTTTCGCATTCTGATTGAGCATAGACGTAAGCATTGGATGAAAAACTTTTCTCTTCGGGCATAGCAGTATTTTTAAAAAATGAATACTGTTTTTCATAAATTTTTTGCGGCATTCTTACTTTCGTTTCGCTCATCTTGCTTTTTACTGAGGTAATTCTTTCAGAAATACGTACGCGTTGATTTCCTTAATTTTCATATCATTTGTGATTTGTGTTGACCTGATGTGTAACTGTTGAATGAAACCGTTATCCTTAGATTTATTTTAAGCTGCAATTACAGATCATGTATTAAGTAGTTTTGGAATCGGTGCTGTTCGCCCGGGCTCGGATAAACTACATTTATGTCTGTTCATTTGTTCCTGAAAGTTTTGCAGAAAAGGAAAATCAGTCCCAGCTCATTTATCTCCCCATTCCAGTGTTTTGAAGACATGGGGCAAGATGATAACCGTGGTCTCTTCACGTGGTGCTCTTGTTACTTGTGAAAGTGCGCCAAAGCTTAACAATGCAACAAATGCTTTCATCTGGCAGCCGAACGTTGCGTAGGCAATCTCCCCAGCTGTATGACCGAGGGAGAGAACATGCCAATTGTTTGCTTCTTCTTATTCTTGTCCAAAAATGTAAATAAATAAAAAAAATTTAATTTGCTGTGCAATTAAGAGCTGTTGCGGTTCAACTTGAGCTGGGTCTAACTTTAAGCCCTAATACAGGCCACTTTTTTGTTATTTTTGCCTGATGTTTCTTGTCTTAAAATTGGAATATCGAAGCAAACTTTTTCTTGGTATCTGCCAAAATTATTACCAAATTATGTAATACCTATGTGATGTATATTTTGCGAGTCACTGATAGGTTAATTTTAGGGGACTTCTTCAGAAATCGAAGGTACCTCGCGAAGATATAGAATATGTCGTTGTTGGCTCCGTTATTTCCGAAGTGAAAACCAGCAACGTTGCTCGAGAGGTATAATGTTGCTAATTACATGCCTAATCTGAGCCACCTCTGCGGCACACGCATGATTAGTTGACACCAGTAAAATTCCTGTCCTGTTCTATTGGAATTGCATCTCTGAGTGCTAAATGCATTAATAATGCGTATACCTTGTTTAAGTGGCTTTCGCTTTTACATAACTCTAGCCGTTCTTTCAAAGCTTTTCACTGCGTTGCCCCTGACACAATTTAGAACGATCATAAGTGTATTGGTAACAGCGGCGATAGATTGACACGCCACGCTGTTACCTGATATATGCTCTGCGACCTTAGTTGACCAGTTGGGGATTTTAAGCATTTTCACAGTTTAGTATATA